GATGGATGGATGGATGGACAGATGAACGTATGATGATGGATGGATGATGGATGGATGACGTAGCCACTTCTGATGTGTGCGGCAGCCATATGAGATTTTAACGTCACGTTTGGTGGAAACTCCTGCGACTTGCTCGTTCAGACTTCCAGCGTTCCTTGGATTTCTTATAAATCTGGACCTCTGAGCTCAGTCGCCTTCCATCCATAGAAAACATAAATATCTGTTGAACCTCAAAGTCATGGAGCTCTTTAGATCTTCTAACCAACAAACCTCCATCAAATGATGGCTGCGTCCTGGTCCTGGCAGTAAACAACTTTAACTGTTTAGCGTTTGTCGTTACGGTTGCCGTGGCGATCGTCTCACCGTGACTTTTCTCGTGTTCTGGTTTGCAGATCCTGGCTCTTTACAAGCACCACAACCCGGGAGCGTCTGCCCAGCCGTGCTGCGTCCCCCATACTCTGGAGCCGCTGCCAATCCTCTACTACGTGGGCCGGCAACACAGGGTATCAGAAGCTCAGAACAGAGAGTTCCCAGAACTTTACCACGACTCCAGAGAAGATCCATAACGAGTGTTTTTCCTTCCAGGTGGACCAGCTGTCCAATATGATTGTGAAGTCCTGCAGGTGTGGCTAAAAATACAACCAAGCGTCTTCTGGACACAACCGAAGTGGACGGTTGTCTACAGAGAGGAGCGTGACGAAGAGAAGGACAAAATGGACCTTCAGCTTTTCTTATGATCACAGGAGATGAAAACTAGGACCTTTTGATGTTAGGGAAACGTTGTTATGTACATACTCCCTTTGTTGCAGTGAAAAACCAAACATTTCTGCCGTAAAATGATCTAATTTATTTGTTCCATGGACAGAGAGTAGAACCGTGTGAGTTTGACTCACAGGAAGAAAATCACGTTTTATCAGCAGAAACGTGGACACAAACAGACGAGGACCAAAATAAAAAGCTCCCAGAGGAGCTCCTCGTTGATCTCAGGTGGGAAGCTGCGGTCGTGTCGGGTTTTCCTGGAAGAAAGGGATGCAGACGATGCGTTCAGGTTACATCGTAAAAAACAGAGAAAAAACCACAGGGAATGTCCAAAGAATGGACAGGAGTTGTCCATCATGTCCTTATGTTTATTAAAAACATCCAGTTGAACTCAGACTTCAGAAGTCTGTTGTTTAACAGGTGAAGTTTAGCTGGTTAACATTAGCTAGTTAACTTTAGCTGGATAACATCAGCTGGTTAATTTTAGCCAGTAATCTTTAAAAGGTTAACTTCAGCTGATTAACTTCAATGGGTTAGCTTTAATGGGCTAACTTTAGCTGGTTAACTTTAGCTGGCAAACTTTAACTGCTTAGTGTTAACCAGTTATCTATCACTGGTTAGCTTTAGCTTGTTAACTTTATTAGGTTAACTTTAACTGGTTAACTTCAGCTAATTAACTTTAGCTGGCTATGTTTAGCTTGTTATATTTAGCTGGTTAACTTTAATGCGTTAACTTTAACTGGTTAGCTTTAGCTGGTTAACTTTAAACAGAAACCTTCAGGAAACAGTTTTGTTTTTATTCTCACAAACATGAACTACAATAAAAAATAATTTTAACTCTTTTAATTCTACGTTTCACATAAAGACATTTTTTTAAAGTTTTCATATTTTTATAGTAAATTTACTTTAAAAATGTGTTTGTAAATAATAAAAACTATGAAATAAACTTTTTTTAAGTTATGAAACCAGAGTGGAAAGTTTTGTGTTTAGAATAAAAACACAGAGATCTAAACTCTTCGGCTATTTTGTTCTGCTTCTTTTAGCTGTGGTTTAGCTTTTTTCATTTTAGCTTGTTTTTTACTTCCATTCAACTTTTAACTAATGCTCTGCTTCTTTTTGCTGTTAGCTAACATTTGCTTATTTTAGCTATTGCTTTTTTAGCTGTTAGCTACAGTAGTTGTCCGCTTTATTTACCTTCTTAGCTAGTTTTCTACCTCCATATAACCTTTAGCTCGTGTTTTACTTTTAATCTTTTGTTATGCTGTCTTTAGCTGTTAGTTAACATTTGCTTATTTTAACTTGTATTCT